TTTCCTGATAAACTACAGGATTCACATGACATTTACATCTGCATGCACAGTTATATGAAGCATTTTGAGACTGACTTGTAGATTTTTCTCTCTCCCTTCTTTCTTCTTCCCAGTTACACACGTTTCTATTCGCACTCTGATCTTTTCTTTGCCCTGCTTTTATTTATCCAACCAGACAAAACTTTTCTTTATCTTTTCCCGCACTCTTACTTTTTTACCGTGCATATTCCCAGAGCCAAACCAGCTTCAGCCTCGTCAGTGAGTGCCAATACTCATTTAACCACAATACACACTTTACAACAGCACTTGACTTAAAATGAAGCAGAGATGTTAAACGGCTTCATAAAAGTCTGCTGCCTCTTGCATTGCAAATATAGAGTGGTAATGCTACATGCACCTGGAATATAACACCTGATTTATTTTACGTAAAACTATTGAAGTAGTACACACAGAATGTGAACTTGCAGTCAAGGTTTCTGCCCCTGATGGCTTTCATGACTGCAAAGCATTAAATCTGGTTAGCTTGGATGGTCTATTGTTCTCAGATGTGTAGGCAGTGGAGCCGTGAGTCCTTGAGGTAAGAGCCTTGCCATTTGTTGGTGTATGTAGTTGTTCCTCTTGAGCCTCTTTAGAAAAGCATGGATGGAAAGTCTATTACTGCTGCAGCAACGGCAGCAATCTTGTACGCATTCATATGCATAAAAACGTGCCGACATTACCCCCTACGGAAATACTCCGACTGTGTAAATATGAGCAGCAAACAGCGTGCTCTGAAACACCAGAACCGAGACGGAGAACACAAAGTAACCCGGTGGAAACATTGCACCGCCAACTTTTCAGGAAGCGATAAGTGTGTGCTTATTCACAGAGAGGCTGTCAACTGTAATGCTTAGATTTGATAGGTATGATTCTTTACAGTAGATGCATGTAATTCTTAGTATTAACAAGTTGATGGACTCTTTGCAGTTAAATGGGAATTCTTTATTTTATGGGTCCATCATTTCTGAATAATGAACCCAATACCTTTAGTACGTTTCCACATGTGGAGCTAAAGCAGTACACTTATTATCAAGTGAATTAAATAAATTGCCAGCGGAACTTTGAGAGTCTTTTTGTCAGCTGAGGATGATGAAAATGTGTACAAGCGTCATATAAACATGTAAATGTATTCTTCTTTTCTTACCAACATCTTTATAATATTAACACCATATTACATAGTTTTGTCCAGAAAACTAAATAGGAAAGGAATTGAATTGAAGCTTTGCCCAGTTCCCTCAAATAACTGTATTAATCAGATGTTTTGCAAACTAGTGCTCACTAGAAGCACCAAATTATTTTTTAATTTTCAAAAAATAAATAAAGAACAAAGATTTACTACGTTTCACATCAGTTAACGACCAAACTCCCAACCAAGAGAGGAACAATTCAGCGGCTACACAGTCATTTTGCACTCATGTATTCACATCTACACTCTATTATTTGCCTCACTGCAGGTCAGCCAATCGCTGTCCATGAAACTGAAGAAAGAAAAACATGGAAGGGGAAACAAGTTTATGTGTTGTTGCAATTTGTCAGGGATTTCAACCATATTGTCTCATAATCGAAATTGAAGTCAATTTAATTATTCCAACTGTGACAAAGTGGGTGAGAACACACCATTTGTCCCATATTGCATTCATCTATAAATCTGACCATGCTTGTCAATTGTTTGCTTACCATACCCACCATGTGTTCCAGAGGCTAAAGGGGGAGGCACCCATTAATTTCCTCTATTTATACACGGGATGATGTCATCTGTGATGTCATTGGGTCAGACCAAGTATGGGGGGGAAGTAGAGTATGTACCGGTAGATTTGTAGGTTGGTTATGATCTGTTTTACATTGTTATTAGTGCATAGCAAAGTGTAAACCATATACAATTGTTGGCTATCTAAAGGGGTGCTGTAAGTTATAGGTTTTGTCTGTTAACTATACTCACCTGCACTCATGGTAGGAACTATATCCTGCTGATAGGAGGCTCTATATAAGGAGATGACTTTGACTGAAATAAAAGGAGGAAGATCAGTGTGTAGCCGTGTGCATGCGATTATGTTACTTTAAGATGAGTTGAGTTTTATTCAATTAAGCTAAGTTAAATGTTTTTGTTTGTATATATGTTTGGTTACACGTGTCGCAGGGCACTTTTATAAATAAAACACCTTTTGATATCGGAACAAAGTCTCTCGTGTCTGCCTCCTACCAATTCAGAAGCCACTCGGGTCAGGCTTCACCACACCAACCCACACAAGATGTTGATAATCATTTGGCCAAATTGGTCCAAAAGCAGCAACATAATCATACTTTGGAAATATTCCCAATAATCAATCATGCTTTTCTTCATGATGTCCACACTGAAGCAGAGAGCACGAGGGAAAGACGTTAATTAATGGGGAACCTGCGTGTTAATGGCTCATTTCGGGCTAAAGAGAGGCCATGGCTGTGAAAACAAGGAGGATGATGGTGGATCTGAAGGTGGAGAGGGTGAAGAAAGGAGGAGGTGAAGATGGAGGAGGGGAGGTGCATGGCCCAACAAGCTGTTGATTAATACGGAGCTGCTGGGCTGCCTCTCCTGAGTCTTGCATGCATGCAGGTTTGACACGTCCTCAGGCTCTCACCTGCGGTTCCTCTGAGTCAAGGGCTCGCTCGCTCGCTCTTTTGCTGCCATTGTTGAATGCAATAAAAGGAACTCAATTTGTCAGCTCTGTTATTGCATTAGTGACAATCCCCGGAGATGTTTTGAAAGAATGAATCTGTGTGCTTCAGGACTGCACACTTCCAACACAATAAGTAACGTCTCATTTAGAGCATCTCGAGCTGAACAATAGTTCTCAAATGAAATTGGCCAATAGATTTTTTTTAAAGAAGGAATTTATGTTTGTTCTTGAGAATGGGCATGAAAATAACGACTTTAGCTGCTTTGTAACTGGAATGTAGAAAATCCACTGACATGATACTGAGGTGCCTGAGATGAATAAGGGTTCAAATAACATTGAGGCTTTCAATATTCGCTGCAGGATTCTTGTCATATTTTGCCACTTTGTCAATTTAAACTTCAAAAACATCAATAACATAATCAAAGTCATACAGGCTTAATCTACCATTTATGTTGAGCACAGTATTATTCTCATTGTTCAGGAATATCTATACTTTATCTTACTTTCTTTTTTAAGGTCGGCTAGTGTGTTGTGTGATGCATCGGCTTGGAACCCATGACAAATTGTCCTACTTTGTCACCACATATTTATTTAATATCCTATTTTAATGTTTTTAAATAAATAAATGCAAAGAAAAATGCAAATAGCATGTTTTCTTCTTGGTGGCCAAGTGGATGGGAATAAAAATATGACCCTCAGAGCCGCTTGGGTCAAATGAAGATCCTTGGTGCTGACTCAGGGGGCATCAAAATTGATTCCAATTACCCCTCCAGTCCACAGCAGACAGCAGAGAAGTGGGTCAAAAAATCCCTCGCCATCAGGGAAGTGAGCGGTTGGTTTTATATGTTGAAAACGAAAGAAAACAAAGTCAACACTGTAAAATAGAAAATCTCACGAGAGGATTTCTGGCTCCCTTGTGAAGTTGTTTCATCTTAGAACTTTAACCCTTTAAGTGTGTTTTCAGCTCATGAGAGTTAATTGTAACTGTTTTGGCCGCCTAAAAATGTATTCTTCAGTGACCGTTTGTACGTCCCTCCACACACACTTCTGGTTGCAAAAAGCCAAAATGGCGACAGCAAAAATGTTAAACCAGAGGCTTCAAAACGGCAGTCCACAAACCAATTGGTAACATCACAGTGACATACGTCCACTTGTTACAGTATATAGAGTCCATGCTTGGGACAGAGCCAGGCTAGCTGTTTCCCCCCCATTTCCAGCCCTTTATGCTAAGCTACGCTTGCTAGCTGCAGCCTCATTTTTACCACACAGACACAAGAGTGGTGTCAATCTTCCTTTAGGGCTATTGGCAAGAAAAAAAATAAGCAAAATATCAAACTTCTAAAACTGTCCTGGGACCAGTTGTGGGTCAGGATCATGTTAACCTGCAATACACGAGTTCAGTTTCAGGGCATCAGCTGCTGCACAGAGAGGCCTACACACCTTTAGACCTTTAGGTGGATGTGATTTCTGTTTTTCCTAATAAAACAAATAGTTTTTGCTTTGAATTTTGGTTCCACATATCCACTTAATTTGTTAATCCTCCTCTCTGCAAAACATCCCCCACTAAACTCTCATCTCGTTTAAAAACCACAAATCCACAAACCAAATGTAATAATCTATTAAAATATATCCGTGATTAGTCAGTAAAATCTTTGGAGCCAATAGCAGTTCTGTGTGTAACAAGTTTTGCACAGCAGCATAATTAAGACTCTTAACTGTGTCTTCAGCCTCATTATATAACCATTTGTGGTTTCATCCTCAATCTGCTCTATTTGCTCTAATTGTATTCCTTTTAATGTCATACTCTCATATTTCTTCAGCGACCCACTTTTTTCCAAAGAGATAATTAAACTTTCATTCTATCTTATCTTTTATGCTTTTTTCTCCATCGCATGGCTTTAAAAAAATGAATTCTTCCCCTTCAGCGTATCTTCTGTGAGCGTCGACACTGGCACCTGCTGTAAAATGAATGAAGCAAAGGTGGGACCCAACTTAATTGGTAAAGAAATGAGAACCATATCTCCATGAACTTTACCTCCAAAAAAAATCAACTTATTTTTCTTGGAGTGAAATAACCTTGGGGGTGGGTTTCCCTTCTGCTCCAGTAGTATAGGTGAGGGAGCCCAGCAGAGACTGAGAGAATAATGAACAGTGTACATGGACCTGGTAGTTTCCATGAGAGCAGATGATGAATGACCACGAGGAGGGAGTACAGGAACAGAGCAGAGGCACAGCCATTTGTTACTCTGCTGTCACAAATGTATTTTTAATGAATCTGCACCTCTGACTCCTCCGCGGAGCGGGACTGTTCCTTAAGGCCAGCATGACCCCAATATTTCCTCCGAAGCGCTGGCTCTGAACAAACCCACTTTACTGTGTAAATGTAAATAACCTTCTCCTTCTGAGTGCCGGAGCCATCAGTCTAGCGCCTCATTATCATCCTCACCTGTGCCGAGAATAAAGGGCCGTCTCTGCTAGCAGGTGGGGAGGTTTCACCTTGATTCGCTCCTGTGTGCTAAGCTCTGTGTTGCTTAAAGATGTTGTTTTTCTTGGCGAAAAAAAGATAGAAAGATAGAAAGAGCTTTTAGGGTCGGCAACACTTTCTCCTGAAATCACTTCAAATTCAAATTATTCTGGTCCTCTAGATCCCCCTGCCTCTGCAGGGATAAGGTGAACGCCTTTATGTTCCACTACTTTTAGAGTTTTAACATGATTAAAATACCAACATGATAACTCAAAAGAAAATACATGGGAGGGAAAGGAGAAGGGAAAAAAAGAGAAAAGGAAAGATACCTGCCGATTTCCTGCAGGGCAAATGCATTAAAGGACGCTGCTGACACTGAGGTAGTCCAGAGGCAAACTAAGAGGAATATATTTCTAGACAGCGCTTTGCTCGGCTGGAATATCGCGGACGAGTGTGTAAAAAAAAAAAAAAAAAAAAAAAAAAAACAGCAGGAGATCGAGGTTAAGGCCAGGCCAGTTACATTCACACACCTCTGTAATTCTAGCTTTTCCACTTCTTGCATGTAGATGTTGAAACTGCTGGGAAAAAAGAGAAACCCCACTGCAGACACCATCCTGGAAATAACTGCCTCACTTTGGAGGACACACACGTCAACATGTGACCTACACCGACACCCAGAATGACACACACATCATTGCATTTGCTGTGTTCCATCTGTGCTGTCACACCGGTTCAACAATCTTGTGGGGAATCGGACCTGGGCAGCCATCCATCATCAGCCTCAACCCCTCAGCCCCTCCTCCCCTTCCCCCCCCCCCCTCCCAAAAGAAATGTTTTATGCAAAGAATAGATTCTGCAAAAAAGCAATTCCACACACACTGAAAGAAAAAAAGGACAGAGCGATAATTCACACTCTCGGCTTCCTTATCATTTTAACAGCCAAAGCACAAACAGAGCAACAAAAGGCAGGATATTCACTCTGTTTTCTCATTGAAGCTGCTACAAGTCCACGGCTCTTATACAGTAAATAACACCAAAGTAATTCTTTGTTATCTTTGTCCACGTCCAGCTCTGACAGTCTTTCACCTCCACGCTGGTGTCTAGCCAAGGTTTCACCTTGGAGCTGAGAAACTGCTGAGGAATTGCTACGCAGAGCCTCCGCACAGCAGAGGAAGTCACACGCCGTCCTGGCCTTGTTCTGGTTGAATAGAGGCCCAGCGCTGCGGGGGGGAGCACAGACACCAGATGACATGGTGTTTATGAAGGCGTCTCATTGTGGCTGGACGTCTCCGTGGGAACCCTCGGCCTGACCGGACGACCGGTCTTGACAGAGCCGTCCCCCGACTCCAGGATCAGCGGGCGGTTGTTCTTGTGTCTGTCTGGGTCTGCCACACCGGTCCGGTTGTCACTGTCAGGGAGACATAAACGAAGTGCTTCACTCCGGAATCTAATACATGAACACACAGTCAATAAATGTTATAATTATATTTTGAAAACGTTGGTTGGCTGATACTACTAAACCAAGGCCTAGGGGATTCTTTATCACAAATTCTGAGGAGTATCTTTACATCATTCTTGTCAGATCATCGAGCCCGCGTGGATTTGTAAGATATATGATGAAACGTGGTGAAACACGACCTGTCACTAAAGAACATAAATCACGACACAAACTTCTTACTTGTTTCCCCTCCCTTAGTTCTGCAAATAAAATCCGCCACAACTCAAGCCTGAAATCTGTTGAGACTGGAGACATTTTACCAGAGTGGTCCTTAAAGTGACAGTCCTTAAGATTCCAGTCCTGGTGGCTTTGAGTGAAATCCATTGAATTCTTTCAGAGTTTAGAAGTCTGGAGTCTTTGTGTTAATACACAAGCTTTAAGCATTCCAAACTGTGTGCAATGGTGCCACAGGCATCCAGTATGTAATATTGGGTGTAAATATATAAACGTTGCAGTACTTACATAGGTGGGCCATGAGCTCATTCACCGGTGTGCTACCTTCTTACAAAGCAAGGAGGAGCTCAGATAATAACACTCAAAGGGAAAGCGACCTCATTCTGTGCTCAGGTAGACACTACTGCATTACATCTTTACAGAGAATGACTGTTTGCTGATGAATTAAAGCTCTGAGAGTCGTAGAGAGAACTTATATCATAAGGCTTTACAAACAGACAGACTACAGTGGAGGACTTTCAGTACCTGTCTTGACTGTCTTTAGCCACTGTGCCGTCTTCATAGATTTTCAGCATTGTGTCTGTGCGGTCGTCATGGTGCTCTTTAGGTTCCTGAAACCTGAAAAATGACCATTTCCTTTAGTTGTCGGTGCTGTTACAGAACACGGCTGTATGTCTGTCTAGTTATACGTTCCAACTTCCAATAATAGTATTATTTGATAATAGGGCTCGGGAATTTCCCAAAACAGCTGGTCGCTGTAGTTTTTAGCGAGCATTATGCAACCAGAAGTTGCAGTTGTTGTGGACTATTCTCAGCCGCAGATTAAAACTAATTTGTAGCTCCAGTGAGTATTTACTGCAGCAGAACGGTGCATGTGGATTTAAGTTAAGATAAGCTACAGTGTGTGTGTGTGTGTGTGAGTATGTTCCTGGTAATGAAGGAACATGTCACCCGGTGCAACCATGGGCCTCACTAATGTGCTTTTAATAGACCTTGGACACAATGACGCTCTGTGTCTGTAAAGGAATAATGTGCCAGAATAAATAATTCACTGTTGGTTTTGGTCTTTTCTTGGGATTTGTTGACAATGAATTAATTTACTAAGCCTCATCCTTCAATGTTTAAACTTTTAGTTGAATGTCTTTTTTGAAAGAGGAAAACAGCACAGCCTTAAAAGACACACTGACTTGGTTTGGTGATGCTACGCATTACAATTTAGTTTACAAGACGTGCAACATTTTTTGATGTTGTTTTGTGTGGTGTGTACTTCAAATCAAAGCTGCTCTGGTGGCTTTCATTTCCTCCCAATGACTGCCGTCAGGTAACCAATATACTGTACTATATATATATAGGCTATATAGCAATCTATCCTCTGAATAAAACACCTGGGCTCAAGTCTCTCTTTGACTTTGGCGATGGACAGGATGTAGGGGCTGATCTGTCTGGTGATTGTGGTCAGGTAAGAGTTCTCCTGCTTCAGCTGCATCAGGTCGTGAAGCTGGGCTGGAACCAGTAAACGAAGAAAATGAAATTAAAACAACAAGACAGAGATAAAACGTTCGAGTGATACATTTTAAACTCAGAAGACAGACCTTCATAGATCTCCTGCTCATTGGTGACCCTCTGAAAAGTCTCATCCCAGATCTGTGAGGAGAATGTGGTAAGATGATTCTCACATTCCACTCTTGGGGTACCTTGACATTTGCTTCTTTTCTTTCCCCTCTGTTTGCACTACTAGCAGTCTGCATTTATAACATCGGACAGAACTAGCTTGTTAGTATGCAGCTGGAGCTACTGACTGAGGACAAATGTAGGAACTTTTTTTTTTTGCCTGCCAGAGGAAAGTACAAATTAAAGGTCATCATCGAGGATTCACTTGACGCACCTCTTCAAACATGACTCTCATAGTCTCCACGGTGGAGTGCTGGGAACCTATCTGGCTGTCGATGTGCAGCGATCTGTCCATGATCTCGCCCATTTTATCTGTGTTGATGATGGAGTGGTGCTTGGTCAGATCTCGGTGCAGCTCCTGGACCTGGTCCTTCAGATTCTGAATCTCCGTCTGGAGAGTCTATGAACACACAAGTATACGGTACATTGGACGCGACACTCGAGATGGTGCTTCGATGTCTTTAAAGTGTACGGATGCCAGGTGAGGTGCATCTGAGCGTGAAAAGCGTGTTGTCCACTAGACAGGTTGAGTTCCCAGAGGAATTCATGCTGCAGCCTTTCCTTTGTGCTACTCTGAGGATCAGAGACGGCTCCTCGTCCAGGAAGAGAAGTTGATGCAGCAGTTTGAACCGATGTGGATCCAAATAAAGGAGATTTATCTCACTTTTATTTTACTAACTATGGACATAAAACTGGTAAATTATCCTGCACTCCAAAAGTACTTCAATTCATTAAAATAAATAAAGATATCTTCTGTGTTCTATTAGCCGCGTTTCCACTCAATTGTCAAGCAAATCTTAAATAAACGATTGAAAAAAATAAATGGTATAAACTAAGCAGGTCTGTAATCCACCAATACACAGAGTAGAAAAAGTAGAGGTTTGCGAACCGGAAGCCAAAAAAGTCAGCTTGGCCATCTAACTAACTCATGTACGAGAATAAAATGGAGAGAGGCTACTACAGCGATTTGTTGCAATTGGGCAAAGTTTAAATTGCTCTTTGAAGTCAGTTTGTATTGGCCACGTTTCATGCTGTTCGGAGACGATGACGAGGATTACAACGTTGTGAGAATATCGGAGAAGAAGCTGACAGCAGAAACAGCTGATGAGTCATGCCAGTTAAACGTTCGTTACGTCAGAATATATTTGTCAAAGTCAAAGTTTTTCTAATTTGATCATCCAAAACGCGCAGACTCATATGTGAATGGAAACACAGTTATTGAATCTTTATTGATGAAAAATATCTCTGAATCAGAGAGTTGGTTCTTCGATGATCACCCTGTAGTAACGGGGAAAAAAACAACAATGTGTTCTTCGCAATTTTGGTTTCCAAGTGTATTTCCCTTTATACACTCGCTATGTGATCCCCACAGAGTTGTAATAACTATGATAATCTCTAATGATCTTTTCATGAAATGCTATTATCTTGGTACATTTAAAATTTGTCCAATACTTTGATTCATGACTAAATTCTTGCCAAACTAACAATATTCCCATCAGTATCGTCTGCACTTCACCTTTTTTTGTGCTTAGCTAATAAGCTAATTTTAGAAACTCGCTAAAACAAGACTGTGAACGTGGTAAACAATACAGCCTACCTGCTAAACAAGATGTTAGCATTTAGCCCAAAGCACTGCGAGCATATACAATCTCCATTAAAAGGGTCAAGTCTGTATTTTTCAACCATGTTTTTGCGTCAAAGTCACGAATGGGGACATTTTTTTTATTGATCCAGTATTGAGGGAGAACGCTGCTCAAGAGGCTGTAATGCAATCGCTCAGGGCAACTCCTCACCCTCAATGTGCATCCACTAAAAGTGCTTGTTTTTGCCACTGACAGGCTGAGATTGTTACTATACCTGTCTGACAACATGATGGAATAAACTTTCCTGTTTGTCATTGTGTCATGTGACTTATTGCCAGAAGAGATGGAGAGAGGTCAGTTGGTCGTGTCGCAGTACGGTGCTGTTAAGTGGCTGTCGGCTGCAGCTTTCTCCCTCAATAATGGACCAATTTAAAAAAAAATGTTTTTCCTCATTAGTCACTTATACACAAGAACGTTGGAAAATGCGGTTGAAAAATACCAAAGTTACCCTTTAAATGTTGTTCAAATGATTTTCTAAGCATCAGGTACTTTGTCAGAATTATTGGTCACAGCACTCACCCTGTAGGTGTTCTCATAGTTGCGGCAGTGCTCGGTGAAGGGTGTTTCCCGCCCCTCAGCCAGGAGGACCTTGGTGCAGATGTTGCGGTGACAAGTGGGCCTTCGACCGCACACCGAGCCCAGGGGCATCTCACTGAGAGACGGGGAGCGGCAAGACATGGAGAGAGGGGACTGGTGCCTGAGGTGAAGAACAATCATGCATGTCTTCTTTCTGTGTGTGAAGCATTACATCTATCTCACCCCGGCCTCTTTGACCACAGCGGGAATAAAGCCTCATAGTAAATCATTTGAACTCTATAATTGACCAGCTCTGTTCTGACTGTATAAATATTGCATAAATATAGCACATGTACAGCTTGCACTATTCAAAACACTCAGTGCAATATTCTTAATATTCTTTTTCCTGGTTGCTGGCTCCAAGAGCTTTCTATCATTGCAGTCAGTTGGGAATTGTGTGCATATTGTATGCAAAACACGAGCTGCTTCAGAATGCCCATTATTACAACATACTCTCTACTTTTACTTTATATACAACTTTGTATACTTTTTCTCCACACCATCTACTTTGTTTTGTATCGCATAACTTCCTCAGCCACTGTCCGATACACATGTGATACACACTTTACTGTCTCAAGACCCTTCCTCGGCCTCGGAGCAGCTCCGGCTAAGTGTTTCATTTAAGCACACCTTGATGTTGTAGGGTGACTAAGGAGGTCAAATGTTTGCACAAACTTTCCTTTTAAATAAAACGTATTGGTGGGTTGCTTGACATGTTTCTTTTTTTCATTGTTTGTTTATTTCTCCGCCAGGAGGATCATGCGATCGGTCGTGTTCGTGTGTGTTCGTCCGTGAGTGAGTGAGTGAATGTGCAACTTAGTGTCTGTCCACGGCTAATCCCGTCGTGGTTGCGGGGGACTCACACTTTCTCAAAGTGCCTTTTATTGGCTGTTTTGTACCGCCACTGATTGCCTGCTGACTCCTCATGCACTATTCTTAACCGTCCCCCGGCTAATGAAAACTAGCAGTGCACACACTGCTGTACCTCTCCGGGACTCAGGCAGCTTGGTGAGTTTAATCTAGTTTTTGGCAAGATTGCATGACGTGTCTTATACAACAACTTTGAGAAAATTGCCTGCAGTCATCGCCGCTTCTTTTTGAGTTTGAATGAAATGTGTTTTACGACGCCTTAAGACCCTTTGGTGTGTAGACGTGGGGTTAGCCAATAGTGGGCTGTAATCATTCTATCATACCAAACAGCAGTGAATGTTGCAGACACACCTGGCTGAGATTTCTTTAGTCGGTTAAAAATTCTTAATCTAAATGAGACTACCTGAATGAATACAGATTATATACAGTATATCATGTGTCTGAAGCACAGCAACACACTTGTCACTCAAAACACATCTTCACCATCACCAGGAGTGTGAAAGTACGTATGTGCAGCACATATTCAAACAACTAGATAAACATATATTGATCTGGGTTCCAGTAGGACCATAGTCTTGGCTTCCTGCTTCGCACAGCATAACTGCCCTGCAGCCGTTCTACAGTAGCCCCGGTGTGAATACATCCTCTCACGTTGCCGTACAAATGCTGTCCTCTGAGCATCCAGACTGTGTTCCAACACAACCAATTAAAGACATTGCCAGTACTGAAGCATCAGTTACATGAAAGAACAACTTCACTTCTGTTCTGGGAAATTATGATACAAATAGGGCCAGCCAGCTGGCCGTCCGCCAAATCCCTGCCCGGTTTGCATCCTGCATTAGCGGCTCACAAGTAGAGGAAGGAGCTTTCAGACAGCGACTGAAGCATCAGACACAACACATTCAGTCACATTCAGAGGAAAACGCTCCGCCATGTGGGCGTCATTCTGAAGGACCATACGGTGAGGAAAATCTCGTTTCCTCCTCCGTCTGTTAACTGAAGTATGTAGTGGACTTGAAAAATTGTGGAGTCGAGCACCTTGTGTTATCTCACAGTGTCAATGGTATCAGCAGACGTTCACCAAAGAGAGCAGAAAGCCAGAGACTCCTCTAAACCTACGCTGATAATTCAGTCTGTAAAGCACATTTAATTCAACCTTCTATCACAATCAATATTCACGACACTCAGCTACAAAAGCTACATCTATTTGGCGATCACACTGCAAGTTAAGGCACACATATCACAAACTCAGGACACCCTATACAAGAGAATAAAATGCATATAAAAGTACCTGGGGTCTGGCAGGCTTAGTCCTTCCTTCTTGCCCAGTGTTGATGTGACAGAGGACCTGTCTAAACCACGTATCCCTCTCTCTCTCTCTCTCTCTCTCTCCCCTACACATGTCATCCTCTGCACATCCAGCTTCTGACCTCCCATCACTGACGCCAATTAAAGACTCTCTAAAGCTGTGACATCAGCAGCCTGGAACAAAGTGGCCTGGCAGCTCCTGCATGCCAACTTCCAGATGAATGCCGGAGAGTTCTGTGAAATTACGATAAAAATAGTGCCAGCCGGCGGGCCACCAATCCCGGCCCACTTTGCAACTTGCCCTGGCAGGGCGCTAAGCAAGTTGGAAAGGAGAGTTGTCAGTATGTTGGCATTAGTGGGTGGGCTTAAGGACCTGCTGTTAAACATGGTGGAGTGTTTTGCGAAATTGTGATGCTCCTAGACGGAAGGCCAGGGTGATTAGATGTTAACAAACACCTTAAAAAACAACAAATAAAAAGTTAGAAAAACAACATAAAATAGAGACAGAGGAAGCTGAGTCTCTTATAAGATTGCACCTGTCGCACAGACATGTTTCTGTGGTCACACACACCCTCTGCGTACGGACGTACGGGGGAGGTGGGGGACACACACGGACATACACAGACACACACAGACACACACACACACACACACACACACACACGGTAGCAGGGCTTTCCGCACCGTTGCACAAGGGGTCACACAGAAGTCACCTGCTGAGGTTGGCATTCTGCATTACACACATAGATCACACACATAGATGAGAATACCTTGGCCTTATTCTGACAGGTAGAGCTTGTGATGTTGTGATGTATGCACAGCTGCAC